AAGTCCTTTGTAAATCCAGATTAGAACTGGTCTGATAAATGCTGAGCTGGGTGTGTGTGAACATGGGTTGATTAACATTTGGAGCACAGAATCCCCATCATGCAGTGCTCCCCTGCTTCTCTGGTCCCAGAATTCACTGCAGTCTCTGCTTCAGGCTTTCTGTTCTCCATCTCTCATGTAAATGAATGGTTATCTGGTTCCATCTCGGATGGGAATGAGACCTAGGGCAGTTGTTTCACTCTTGTCACCCTTATCTGGAGGGTCTTAGGTGTGTCTCTCACTGCATCTTAATCAGTTTCGTTTAGGTAGAGGAGGGGAGGGAGGGTGGGTGAGTCCTTGTGAGCCAGACAGACTACATCCTGTGCCAGGGTTGCCCAAGAACACACAGCTGAGACATAACACCACCAGGCCACACACTCCCAGCAAGGTGCAGTTTTAGGTGACACCCAGAACCAGGATCCTCCTTACCCTTCCCTACAGCTCCTCCCTTACCTCCAGATGATATCAGCAGCCTTCCAGCCAGGCAATGTGGTTGCTTGGCCCCCAGCAGCAGAACTGCCTTGTTTATATGGGCAGCCCTGAATCTAAAATGGCTGCCCTCATTAGGCACCTGGCGGCTGCCAGCTCAAGACCCTTAAAGTGCAGGCACACACAGTGCCCTGCCACACATAGCTGCCAGTGTGCATGCCAGGATGAGCTAGCAACCTAAGTCCCGGAGTGCCCAATGGGCTCGCACAGCTTGCATGGTTCTGCTCCATTTTCACTGTTGTCATGGTCCTGGGCTCTCCCTGCACTGGCAGGCAGAAAGGGCTGGGAGCCCTGTCAGCTGATGGGAGCTTGCAGGTGCAAGGGGAATCCAGGATCATGATCTTGGTTTTCTCCCTGTACAAGGAATAAGGCATGATGGGATCTGACTCATGGCACACTCCTATGGCTGGGACCACCCCTTCAGCTGATGGGGCTTGGCCCAAGCTGTCTGCTCCAGCTGAGCACGGGGTGTGCTCTAGTGCCTCACAGCTTCTGGCCTGGGCCACTGCAGACATGTGGCTGCATTTTCAGAATCAAAAGTGAATGTCTGTTCACTTGTTTATCGGTTCAATCGACATGAGTTAGACTAACCTGCAGTGATTCAATCGATTCAGCCTCTGGCTTTTTGACTGTCTGTAATTATTAAGGAAGAGGGCAGCTCAAGAGGTAGACAGTCAACAGAATAGTTTTTTTATACACCTTTGACTTCCCAGGCTTGCACACCTTTCTTGATGAAACCTGTGCTGCTCCTATTTCTAGCCAAGGACAAATGTGGCTGGTGTGGCAAATTCACAACATGCAGAGAGCAGACAAAGACATGACAGGACTGGCTATAGGAGCCCTTAGTGTCTTCAGAGCAATCCATACCAGTGGTTCTTAACCTTTTTGCCATAGTGGGCCACACTTACAGCTCTCAAGGTGTTATGCAGGCCACACCCACACAACTTACTTCCTGTGTCTCCATTTAAAAATGTTTTAACAGGATGTCACATTGGCTGCAGCAGTCTGCTGACTGGGCTGCACGCAGCCCACGGGCTGGGAACCACTGATCTATGCTATGGCTCCAGAGCTCAACCTCAGTTACCCTTTCCTTTAAGGTAGTCCAAGAGTGATGCTGTGGCCAGGGCAGTCCAGAAGTTACGCTTCTTCAGGCAGTGTCTTTTCCTGGACCAACTTTACAGATGGATGGAGAGAGACCAGCCTTTCACCTGAGGAAGACCCTCCTGCTTTTTCCCCCAAGCTCCTTTCGCGCTAGCCAACGCCAGGGTTGGCCCTGCCACCCCAAGTGGAGGCTGCCTAGATAGTGAAGCTGTCCCACATGCCCCAGCACTGACCACCCAGCCCCGGGCAGCTTCCTGCGCCCCGCGGCCACAGCCCATCGCCTCCCCTCTCCAAGCCTCGTTCCCTCCTCGTCACGTCACGCCGTGTCTCGCCTGGGCAGCGCTCGGGCGGTGGCGAGGGGGCGCCGATTGGCTGCGCGGTCGCCGACGTCACATAGGCAGA